GGGGGGGGGGGGCTCCCTCTCCAGTGGGTGGGCCGATCGCAGAGGTAGCTTGTAGTAGAGACGGGGGTCGAGGAGAAGAAGGAAGCAGTCCTTCCAGGAGAAACAAGTGTGTGATCTGTGCGTGTTTGTTTGCCCCCGTTCCAGATGTTGTTCCTCGTCCTAGCCTTCTTCGCCATCACGGCGCTCCTCCTCTACCTCGACAGTCGAAAGCCAAAGGGCTTCCCGCCTGGTGAGTTCTCCTACACGTCCGTCCTCTCGAGCTCGAACTCCTGGATCACGCAGTGCACCACGCGTCCTCTTCCAGGCCCAGACTGGCTGCCCATCCTGGGCTCGGCGCGCGAGCTGGCACAGCTCCGCAAGGAGACCGGCTACCTCTACAAGGCGTGCGAGGAGCTGGTGCACCGCTACGGCCCCGTGGTGGGGCTGCGCGTCGGCAAGGACCGCCAGGTCATCGTCAGCGGCTACGAGGCCATCAGGGAGATGTCCAGCAGGGACGACTTTGACGGCCGGCCGCGCGGGCCTCTCTACGAGACGAGGACCTTCAACCTTCGGCGTGGTAGGCGTACAGCTGCAGGCTCCCAGGACCGCCGCATGGGATAGAGATCAGTCAGAATGAGATTATGATTTGGTCAACTTGACAAAACGCTGTCTCCGACCTCAGGATTGCTGCTGACGGACTCGGACTTCTGGTTGGAGCAGCGCAAATTCGTCATTCGCCACCTGCGCGAGTTTGGCTTTGGGCGGCGCGGCATGGCCGGCATGGTGCAGGACGAGGCGGGCGAGCTCGTCAGGGCCTTCGAGGAGAAGCTGCGCGCCAGCCCCGAGGGCGCCATCGCGCCCATGCACGACGCGTTTGGTAAGCTGCCTGTTCTCCACTGCCCCCCCCCCCCTCTTCCCTGGCGCCTGTTAAAGCCTGACCGCGTCTTCTGTTTGCTCCGCAGGTTTGTACGTGCTCAACACGCTGTGGACCATGCTGGCCAGCATCCGTTACACGCCCGAGGACACGGAGCTGGTGACGCTGCAGGCGCTGCTCAACGACCTCTTCACGCGCCTGGACATGGCCGGCGCCCTCTTCTCCCAGTTCCCCATCCTGCAGTACATCGCGCCCGACGCGTCCGGCTACACCGAGTTCGTCACCATCCACCAGCGGCTGTGGAAGTTCCTCCGCGACGAGATGGATCGCCACATCGAGACGTACGACCCCAACGAGATGCGCGACTTCATGGACGTCTACATCAAGATGATCAAGGAGGCGGGGCCAAATAGCTCCTTCACAGGTGCGCGTCGGGAGTAGAGAGCATGGTGATCGAGGCGGTAGACACTAACGGGCGCTGTCTCTCATCTCCACTCAGAGCTGCAGCTGCTCGCCATCTGCATGGACATGTTCATGGCCGGGTCCGAGACGACCAGCAAGTCGCTCGGCTTCGGCTTCCTGTACCTGCTGCGGCACCCCGAGGTGCAGAAGCGCGTCCAGGAGGAGCTGGACGCCGTAGTGGGCTCGGGCAGAGCGCCCGAGCTCGCCGACAGGCCGAAGTAAGTGGCACGTTGCTCGTAGACACTGCTGCCTGACGACCCTGTTTGTAGCTTCACGGTTGGAGCCACAACCAACACGCGCGCAGGCAGCTTTATCCAAACCGACTGTAAAAATAAGTCCGCTCGGCGGCCCAATCCTCATACCCCGCTCCCCCCGACGCTGTCGCTGACTGATAACAAAATTTCCAAGTGTGAAGAAATATTTTTTCGTTCTCACAACATGTTCCCATCTGTGCGTTGTGAAGTGCTGGGAACAACACATCAAAAGATGGCGATAACTTTTCTGGGATACCGGCACAAACTGCCGGCCGAAAGATCGACTCCCGGCCGGGGCGAGGCAACTTTTTTTTTTGTTGCTTCTTGTCTCACGTAAGATAGGACTGATTGCCGAAGTCCTGTGTGTGTGGTGCAGCTGGCAGCCGAGCGTACTGAGGCGTGGGCTTTCCAAAACTGTCGGCCCGGAGATCGACTCCCGGCCGGGGCGAACTGTTTTTGTTGCTCCTTGCCCCCCTAAGGCAGGGTGCAGCTCAGAACTCCATGTCGTGAGAAAGGGCGAGCTGGTAGTCGAGTGTGTTAGAGCTAATCGCTGGTTCGAATCCCGTCCACGGAAAATTTTCCCCGCTCTGCTGGTCATGTGTCTTCGGTCGCCAGCGACAGCTGAGCGATGCATGTCGCCGAGAACGAGCAGCACCATCGTGCCTCTGCGGCTAACTCGGTAGCGTGACGGCCCAGCATGTAGATAGTCGCTGGTTCGGATCCCACCTGGCAGATATTTTTCGCGCTCGGCTGGCCATGAGTTTTCGGTCCTGCGACGCCTGATTTGATGGGCCTGTACTCAGATGTTCACTGGTTCGAATGTCGTCGGCGAAACCCTTTTGCCACTCTGCCGGCCATGTGT